TGTGAAAACACTGATGCGACTGCATCTCATTTGCATATTTTTGCATATTAGATCACGCCCCACTCATTTTCGTTTTCGTTTTCTGTACTCTCCAGGTACCGGTACGGCCGGCCCGAGTGCGCGGACGGTGCCGTAAGCCGTCTGCATGATCCGACCGCCGTGGCGTTCTACCACTTGGTACTTGTTTCTATGCTGTTGGTCCCCCACGTTAAGACGAAATCAGCAACGCTGTATAGTTAACAATTTTTATCGGTCTAAGATTCAACCCAGATTATGAATGCATCTCGATCTATACGCAAACCCACGGTGGCCCACAACTGTCACGGCAACAGCAAAATCGCCACGGCAAGCGCAAAAGCGACGCGGCAAAAGCAAAAGCGACACGGCAAGCGCAAAAGCGCCGCGGCAAGCGCAAAAGCGCCGCGGCAAAAGCAAAACCGCTACGGCAAGCGCAAAAGCGCCGCGGCAAAAGCAAAACCGCAAAAGCGCCGCGGCAACGGCAAAAGCAAAAGCGCCACGGCAAGCGCAAAAGCGACACGGCGAAAGCAAAAGCGCCACGGGTTTATTGGGAAGGGGCGTAATCATACATGTCGCTACTACATCAAAAAATAAAATGGGAAGGAGAATGGCATGGTCGCCACCATGAATTCTTATTAATCACAGACTTTAATTCTTTAAGAAGTGATTTTATGGCTGAGAAAATAGCAAGGAAAATCGGTCAGTGATGCAACGTTCAGGGAATAAATAGTCGATATTAATTTGTTGTAGGATAATTCCAAGAATATTCCAAGAGAGTTGCTGCCGTGAATCAGAGTTTATAAAGGAGAGGGAAAGTGGGACTCGCTATCAGCACCATCGGGGCCGTTCCTCATTTCTTTACATTTCCTGGGATGCAAACAATTACGAGTACGGGAGGCTCTGTGAGCTGTTGCATTTTTTTGAAGAGTTTTTTTTTCCCCTTCCGACTAGCATGCAGAGAAGAGTTCCGTTAATTTGAGCCTTAGTTCACCGGTGTGTATACCAGTGTAGGCACACAAGTGAGCTGCCCAGAGTGCATGAGTTAAGTTTTTTTTTTCTTTTTCAGTATATCATACACATCTAGGAAGTCAATTAAGGCTCTCATGCAGGGCTGCGGTAATGGGTGGGTAAGGCTTGTCAACACGTAACTCGCCCGCGGGCCCATTAGGTTAGAAATTCCCAGAGAGCGGGAATTTCAAAACACTTTCCTGAACGTTCCTTGCACTGACCGGTTTTCCTGGCTATTTTCTCAGCCATTAAATCACTTCTCAAAGAATTAAAGTCTGTGATTAAAAGAATTCATGGTGGCGGCCATACTCCTTTCCATTTAATTTTAGATGTAGTGGCGGCATGTATGATTACGCCCCTTCCCAATAAACACGACTTAGTTGAAGAGAACTCACAAATCGAGAAATGGATCGTTCTATTAGACAGTGGCAACGCTTTCGACAGAGGAGGTTAGGCTGTGGATTTCATGTAAGGAACGTAACACAGGCGAAGACTTTGGATATAGAATAAGAAAGAAAGAAATTAACTTTAGAAAAGGGGGGGGGTAAGGGAGAGACACTAAACAAAGGAGAAATTTTATCATTCAGATGCACAGTTCTAAGCTCTTCTATGAAAATTTGGTGGCTCTGAAAAGAGCCGTTTGCTTTGTTTCGAGTGAATACAGAACTATTTGATGCCGGAAACAAGCCCTCTTTCTGCCCTGCAGGCTGATTCTGCGATGATGTGGAAGACTGTCCACAAGGCAACTCATCATCGCTATCGCTAAACATCATGAGGTCTTGTTCGGCTTCTTGGTTTCTTGAGCCGGGGGTGGGTGGGCAAATGAGTTCTAGGTTCTAAGTTAATTTCTTTCTTTCTTATTCTATATCCAAACTCTGGGCAGCTCAATTGTGTGCCTACACTGGTATACACACCGGTGAACTCATGGGCGTCGCCAGTATTTTTTCTAGAGGGAGGCAAAACATATTTTTCCCAAAATATTCTTGTATTTCTGAACACATTCTCGATTTCTCAGTTTTAGACGGGGGCAGGGGCATTTTGCCCCCCCCCCCCAACTCATTAAATTTACAAAACTATGACTTCGCGCCTATTTTTCTTGTCTTTTTTTTTTTTTTTTTTCTTCCTTTTTTGGGGGTGCTTTTCCAGGGGAGGGGAAGCGCCCCCCTTGCCCCCCCCCCCCCCTCGCGAGGCCCATGGGTGAACTAAGTCTCAAATTAACGGAACTCTTCTCTGCATGCTAGTCGGAAGGAACAAAACTCTTCAAAAAAATGCATTAGCTCACAGAGCCTCCCGTCCTTGTAATTGTTTTGCATCCCACGAAATGTAAAGAAATGAGGAACGGCCCTGATGGTGCTGATAGTGAGTCCCACTCCTTTAAAAACTCTGATTCACGGCAGCAACTCTCTTGGAATAATCTTGGAAGTATCCTACAACAAATTAATATCGTCGATTTATTTCCTGAAAGTTGATTGCACTGACCGGTTTTCCTTGGCCTTGCTATTTTCTCAGCCATAAAATCACTTCTCAAAGAATTAAATTCTGTGATTACTAAGAATTCCTGGTGGCGGCCATTTTCCTTCCCATTTTATTTGTTGATGTAGTAGCGGCATGTATGATTACGCCCCTTCCCAATAAACCCGTGGTGTTTTCGCCGTGGCGCTTTTGCATTCGGCGTGGCGCTTTTGCGCTTGCCGTGGCGCTTTTGCGCTTGCCGTGGGGCTTTTGCGCTTGCCGTGGCGCTTTTGCTTTTGCCGTGACAGTTGTGGGCCACCGTACAAACCAAACAACAAAACTAATCCCCAAAAAGCTTGATCCAAATGAATTCGGAAGGATAACTGTTTAATTATACATGTACCTGGACAAAAGCACCCCACTTCTCGTGACTTTTCAAGAAGGAAGTCGCTTGGGTTAAAATGAAGAGGTCATCGTGGTTCTCGAAGATAAAAAGTGTCTGCCCGCCCGGCTTCAGACACGCCGAGATGCTACGGAGCGCTTGGGTCTGCTCGGGAAACCAGTGAAGAACGAAAAAACAGACAGCTTTGTCGAATCCCTCTCGCCAGTCTGGGTTGTCTCCCACGGCTCGGGCGTCCCACTGACTGTATGCTACGTTTGGTGCCGAGTTGGTCTTAACGGCCACCGCTACCATTTCCTCTGAAGCGTCAACGCCTAAAGGAAAGGGGAACAGAGTTAAAGCACTCTGATTGATATGATGGTATATTAGCGGGGTTTTTTTTGCGTAATTTCAAACTTCTGTTGAACGTGCGAGCTCCTGTGGAATGATCGTTTTTGAGCGTAGTTAAGCTGGAGGATAGAATAGTGACACAGGACACGCCGTATTTAAAAACTACAATTAAATTTCTCCCTCTAAATTTCACGTAATTTCCAATCTGATTTGATAATATAACAGAATGGTTCTCTATCTAAAAGAAAATTTACATAATATTGATAGTTGACAAATAAAATAGATATTTCGGACCAAATTCCATGCGTCGTCGACAGCTCATTAAGTATTCAAAACGAGGTCACGCACCGGAATGGCATGCATACAGCGCACGTAAAATGAGCAGCTTTTCAGTGCGCTGCGGACTGACTGGGATAGGTCGCCGTTCGCACGCATGATTGAATGAAAATTAAATTTTCACGAAGTGACCTATCTTGATAGGTCGCCGTTCGTGCGCATGAAATATGAAAACGAAATGTTCACGAAGTGACATGGATTTGGCGCCCATTTTTCACCTGGTAGTGATGAGTTTTTGCCTTAGAAACAATTTAAAATCATACTTCAACTATCCAACTTTATTTTATATAAAAAACTGAGTCAACAAAAATTAGTGTTCTGGGTGAAAGAGTGGATGCAAAATAGGCCCAACTTCAATTGCGTTTTTCTCGAAATGGCAAAAACTGAGATAGGTCAGATCGTGGAACGATCAACGATATATATTAATGTATTGACGCCAATGATCCCATAATTAATTTGTGGTTATTGCTTCTCTGTTGGGAAGTCATTGTATGTGATTTGAGCAAACTGACTGGATATTTTCAGTCTTAAGTCGTACTAAATAAAAATTATAGACTATAGTTTATTTTATAGATATGTGATTTAAGCAAACTGACTGGATATGTTCAGTCTTAAGCAAGACATTTCTCAAAGGCAAATCTTTTTAGCATAATCCTTTGAGCATTCACAAGGCCTACATGGAAATAAGACTTTTTAAATAATCAAAAGAAAATATGGTTATTTGAGTAAGCTTGAGTTATCATTGTGACATCATTTCTTTGGTTTTTAATAAGGCCATGCAAAATTAAGTGTGCGTTTATGAGAAGACCATGCAAAATCTTGAAAAATCGACAAGGTGTGGGGTCGGCGAATTAAGTTCAAATCTTGGCCATTTGATCCCCACCTGAGACGATACCACTCGGTGGAGTAGCTCGATAAATAATCACACGGTGGCCGAGTACGGGGCACCGACAATTTTTAGCAAAAAAAGGTGACTTCCGGGGAGTAAATTTGTGTTGTTTCTGGTGTAAAGTTATAGCCTCGTGTATTCCCTTAAACTAAATCGTTTACTGTCGACCTACATATCAAAAGAAAGGATTTAATCTCCTCTAAACGATGAAATATAAATCTTTGATATGCAATCATTCACTGCGGAGATATAGGCGTAAGAAAAACACGTATCAGCTCTTTTACGAAATGAAGTCATTTACGCGGTAAACCATAACTTAATTAATGCAGGGCTGAGAGTCAACAAACTTGGAGGAAATATAGTTCAGATATCCGACTACAATAATAAAAAATAAAAAAACTGTCAGCTTTTCCTGTTTTTGTTTGCTCACGGTCAACAAAGTTGAAAAATTCCTATTTTTAAAGACCAAACCTACATAGCCCCCTAGACAGTTCCGAGTGCATTTGGATCCCCTTAATTGACATTTTGCTGGAATTGTTGTAAGAGCGTAACAAAATCTACATTTTGCAGACTTCACCTATTAGGTGGGTGGGTGAGTGGGCTACCTTTGGTGGTGCGCACTGATCCGGTAGGAGGGGAACGTCCTGTTGCCGCCCACCCAGTTAGCGCACGGTATCGAAAGAGGGCGCCCTCGCATAACATCACCGTCAAAATGGCTGTCATGGACATGCTGTCTGTGCAGCAGCAATGTGATTTTAGTAATTTTAAGGAATTGCAAAGCCATCAAATGTGGTGTAAATCCCTCTTATCCGCGCGAACTAAATACAGTGCAACTTAATCGATGCACAAAAAAACATACGGAGCCATTTGCAGAAGTGGAAAGTCGCTGCATATGATGTGAATGTCGAGTGCATGGAAACTGATCCTCCCGCGATGTGGTTTGTTCGACGTCGATGCATACACTGATAAGACAATATGTCCAGCGCATAGATACAAGTTAGGGTTGAGTTGGACATCATCAAGGAAATGTTGTCATCTACTCCATAAAGTGAAAGGCAAACCATTCCGTGGTGGGAATAAAGCAACTAGCCGTGAGATGTTTGATCGATGGGGTATCCTGATCACAGTTGGAACAGGTAAGAAGACAGAAATCAAACAAACACACATTTCTGAAATGAATCAATCATGGTCATGGTCCATTTCCGATCAACTGATTTTGTTTCTGGGAAGGTTATATCAATTAAATCCCTTATCATGCAGTTGACTTGGGACCAGTGACATGTATTATTGTGTGAAAAAAATAATACTGGTTGTCACAGCTCTGGACCACACACATGGTTTTCGGCAGTGGACACACATGGTGGATATTTTGATTTTTTTTATATAAAGAAAGTTGGAGCTGCACTGAACATGCGCAGTTTGGGGAATAAAACAAATATTTATTTTGCACTTACATTGTTGTTTTGACCATTTACAAGAACAATTTCAGATTTGTTTTCCCTTGTATACAAAACCTCCAGCGCCAGCCACATCAGAAAATGAAAAAGTAATAATTGTTAATAAATACAGTCAATCTAAAATAATAAAAGATGATTTTTTATTTTTTATTTTTTATTTTTATTTTTTTTTTTTTTTTTTTTTTTGGGGGGGGGGATTTATGACATTGGTTTTGTTCAAGGGATCTATTGCTCAATATTGTTGGCTACATACGCCCCGCTTTATATCTTTTACGTTTAAAAAATATTAAGCCTGCTGCGGCCTTTACACTTTGTTAATTCTCACTGTTCATATGACTTTCAGGTATCTGTAGAGGTTGTCTATCTAAGCACAAACAAACAGTTACGCACCAGACAGCGGAACAATTACCACCTAGCGATGTGCTCTCTAAAAGGAACAAGAAGAGCAGCAGTGTACAATCAGTGATTTCACAGTACCATCTCTCCAACCCACCGACACAGAGTGCACTTCAGTTCATGAGGTAATGAGAGTGAACTAAGAATGGACATTGACATATTGCATCTCATTTATCACAGATGAATTGTAAGTACTCTTCTTTGAGTACATACATTTGTATTTCAACCCTGCTATATGTAGCACGCATCTCACTGTTTTTATTTTCCTCATGATTATTTCTAGCATACATCTGAGTCATCATCAACTGATGGAGATATTACAAAGGATGTAGGTGCACTAGACTCTTCTTGGGCTCCAACCCCCCGACCAAAGAATGTGGAGCTGCAATCCCTGAACACTTTCCTTACTCAGGGTGGAATGTCTGCTGTTGATAGGCAGCTTCGTCTGTCATTAGAAGAAGCATCTGATAGCACCATCCGTTATTATAGAAGGAAGCCTTTGGTTTAGTTCTTCATTGTTTAGCACCAGGTCAAGAAGATGGGCTCATGAAGAATTGAAGATTACCATCGGTGAAACAACTGCTGAATCATCACAAAGTAGTCAAGATTTTGATAGTAGTACCCGTTTTCATTTTTTTTTTATTGCATCCTTTTTTACCAACATTTTTGCATTAGTGGTTCCATGTTCTCTTCCTTTACGTATTTTGTGTTTAAACAAAGGGTTATCATGGCTTGTTATTGGAAGACAGTGACTGTTTCTTTTTTTTTAATGTTAATTTAATGTTAATTTAAGAAGGAAAACGATTTTCTTGATTTATATTCAATTGTTTTTTCGAGATTGATCGTTAGGTTGTTCCATGTGTCATTCTATTTTGATACTGTGTTAGTTCAGTTTTCTTCTTTCAACTTCCATTTAAGTTTAAAGTTCAATTTAGTTTTGTACAGTTGACTCTCGTTACAGCAAGGTCGGTGAGACCGCCCAAACTACCTCTTTAAACATAAATGTTGCTTTAAAAGGACAGCGAAACAAAGAGACACAAAGAGAACTAGAGATTTGAGACCTCAGAATTTGCTCTTTATAAGCAGAAGTAGGACATCTTTATAAAAGTGCTCTTTATAACAAAAGTCGACTGTAGTACTACCATTTTACTTATTTGCTTGTGTGGATAACAGGTTTAAGGTTTGGGAAAAAGTTAATTTGGATCCTTTTTGATTATTGGTTTTTTTGAATGGTTTTCTTCAAATTTTGGTTGGTAAAATAAATCATTCTTTTTTTGTTGTCATTCTAAAAATGCGTTTGTCATTGTTTCTATTTATTCAAATTCCTCTCTACTTGTTCCTACCCCATCTAGGTCTATCTAATTTTTGACAGCGAGTACCCTAACATTTAGCGTTTTTCTCATTCAATTTATTATTTTCCAAGTTTATTAATTTTCCGGGTTACATTAACAAGCCAAAAAATAACAGAATTGTCATCCAAGCCTCATCATTCCCAGATTTGGTGCACGATATGTGGCAGGGTGTACCCCCCCCCCCCACCCCACCCCCATTGTGTCTTCATTGTGTTCTGGTAATCTCAGGAATTCTTTAGATGATTATTGGGGGATACTTCTGTTAACAAAAAAACAAGTGTGTGTTGAGTATAGGAACATATGTGGGGACTCCCTCTGCCACAAATCGGGCAGGGTATACATTCCATCCTGGACTCTGAAAGGTGGCGGCCATATTGATTAAAGATGACCCCCCCCCCCACCCTAAAAATGGGATTAATTAAGGGATTATAGCACCCCTAATGGCGTCTCCAGTATTAAAATAGGTTTTAATTTTATTGATCATGAAAAAATATACACGTTTGCCAATTTTCATAACATTCAAGCAAAAAAGTCAAAAATTATGTGAAAAATACATTTTTTTGACCAAAAAGGTGCCCCAAAAAAACGCCCTCTATGAAAGATTTTAAAAACATTTTTGACGTCATTATTTACAAATTGGAAAAATAAAACTTGGTGGCAAATTTCATGAAAATTGGTTGTCGACTTTTGAAAATACAGAAGGGGGGGGGGCACTGTATGCCCCTCCCCCGTCCCTTTACTACCGAAAAAAATAGGGGTAATACAGGCTCCTGCCATTTCATACTAAAAACTGCTGACAATTTTTGTATTCTTGATACTTAAAGACCATGATAAGAACTCTCTTTCACCTGAGTGTCATTGTTCAAAGACCTGCACTAATGACGCTACGGCGACTTAAAGATCGCTATTTCTATGACTCAACTTTGGGGGTACCCTTAGTGCCGTTGCCTCCTAAGAGCAATTTTTTTTCTAAATTTTGAGTTCCTGGTTTAGGTCAGGATACAACCTCAAGACCATGCAAATTTCATTTCCCTACTGCTTTCCCCTGTTGAGCAGCAAGCGTTTAAACTTTTGTACCCCAAAATCATAAAAATCACCATTTTTCACTAATAAAAACACATTTTTGGCTCTTTTTTTTGCTACGAAGGTCAGATTGGCCAAATATTTTGTACAACCTCAAGGCTACCTATGACCCACCTACCCCCCAAATTTTAACCAAATCCGCCGACCCCCACCTTGTCACGGTCTGCATGGCCCTCTCGTGGACACACTCTTAAATGTTTGTTTCCGGTTACATTCTGAAAAAAAATTGGGTAGGTAGGTAGGAAAAAAAAAATATTTTGGAAAAGAAAATTGATCCATGATTCAACTTAAGTTTTGTTTCCAGAATCACACCTGGAAAAATAAGGGTAGGCAGGGAAGTAAAACAAGTTGTTTTGCATTTTTAAAAATCCATGATGCAAGTTTACTGTTGTTTTATTTGTTGATTTGAACATTTTCGTTGTTTTAAATGCTATTTGCATTTCATTTCAAAAGATTTCAAATTGACATTGTTTTCTTTGAACACATTAATAACTCATCTGCTCTTTTGAATTGGTCCAATAGGATCCTTCACTGTTCTGCATACTGGAATTCCATGTTGATTAAGCCATGATGTTGTGTTGGCATATAGGTCTTGTGCAACCACCTGATGAACTTTGTGTGAGTTTTGTCATGAGACTACAGCGTATGTAGTCTGATGTCGAAGGACCACACAGGGCCTGCCCCTAACACACTAACAAAAAGGTCCGAAACTATTTGAGCAATAACTCGCGGTGTATATCAGTTTATGCTTGTTAGAAATATAACCTGCCAAGTGTGTATAAACAAACCTGCATGTCACTTTCAAACCCAAAATATTAAATAAGTTGTTTTATTAAAAAAAACCAAAAGCACAGCTTTACAATTAGAGATAATTTTTATCCCTTAATACTTTTGATATTGCTCAAGTAGTCGTGGTCACTAATACCATTGATCCTTGAATGGCTGTAATTTACCTAGTGCTTTACTCACACAAATCTTCTATTTTACCTGTATGAAAGGTCACCATTGAGAATTTGAATCAACAAAACACTTTATTTTGATGGTGTTTTGTTTCTTGTGAGCGATGAGACACTACATGAATTTCAGCCAAATCCAAGTTGGTTGCCGGAGATGGGTAATTGACATGGAAACTATCAAAAGATTCTGTCGATTTATCAAATACCTTCTGAGTCATGACTTCTCAAATACAACCTGTTTAAACAAAACAAGAAACACACATTGGACAGTATCAGGTGAGTTGTCTTTTATTTTATTTGTTGTACAACATTGTACTGAACAAACACAGGCATGCATAAGCCCAGTAGGTGTCCTATGGAATATTTCCTGTTGCGTCACTGCTTCTCCGGCTTAAGATACCAAATAAAACACTTTCAAAAGGCACTTTTATAGCCTTGAAATTTCACCTTAAGAACTCAGAAAGCTAAACACTGGCACCTAGATTCACTCACTGTTCTGTTCAATCTCACGGTTTCTTTCCAAATGGCCTGCAGCAGACGGGTTTCTTACCCTTACCCTTGCAGGTGGCACAAAGTGGCAACACTGTTTTGAATTTGGTTTTTAGCTCTGGGTCAACCACGCCACCTGATGTTCCACATAAAGCACAGACGTCGATTCGGCCTAGTTTGTAGAAAGCTACTTCAAGGATGTCTCCACAGGTCAGAGCAAGCCGGGTTTGAATCTGAGGTGCCAACGGATGCTCAGGATGGATCAGGGGGGAGCCACAGGAGAACTCATATTGTGACATCTGGATTGCTAATTCCACCTGCTGCCGACTGCTGATAGTTGTCTTAGCGTAGTACACACGTTGTTTACCACATTCCACACATTCAATCAATCCACGGGCATGTTGTTACGTGAAGAGGCTTGTATTTTTCTTCTGTTGTTCCTGAGGAAAAAAAATAGATTGCCCAAAAAGTGATAATTGCAAAAAGCATGTACAAATTTCCTTTCCTGTTAATTGGTCACACACACAATTGGTGCATTCAGAACTTCAATGGCTTAGGCACATACCTGCTCTTCAAGAAGAAAGTAATCCAATATGGAGGTGTTGGCGCCGGATTTCTTATGAGACTGCTTCATTGAAGGCCTATCTTCATCAGTTGTGTTGGTCCCTAGAGTGGTTTCCAGTGGCAAGTAGTGCTCACCGTGGCCATCCAGGACTGGATCTGGAAGCCACTGTCGGTAGTTGCTGTCCAGGGCGGGCTTTGTGCAGCAGGTAACGTCATCACACTTAGCCACCTGAGAAATGTAAATGCAAAATACCTTCAATTTATAGTCAACACTGGATTTACCAATTTTCTTTTTAAATTCCTTTTTAGTTTTATTTAGCAATTATAATTTTTTTTGCAGGGGGCTGTGGTACCACATATTCGATCTGAATGTACACATTGTTTTTGATCTGTAAAAGCAACATTCATACCTGAAAACAGTAATGCCTCTCCCTACAGTGCTTCTCCATCCACTTCATGAGCGGTTTATTTTTCTTAGCCTGTTCCTTGGTTGTTTCTGTTTGAAGGCCTGGAAACTTCTCTGTTATGGTAGTTTTTACTTCGTCTATCAGCAAGTCACTTACAGGGGGGTGGACCTTGAACTGTAACATAAAAATAGTACTTTAATTTCTGTGTGCATTTACTCCACATTATAAATTCCAACACTAGTACCTGCTGGTCTCATGGCAAAGCTGCAAGTTGGTGAAAAAGTAATCCAAATCAACCTTCAGTTTGGAAACATGAAGGCATGAATATTGGATGGAAATTAAATACCACAAATATTTCAGATGTTAGTGAAGTATTTTTTTTTACATTGTATTCTGCATTAAGTATGATTTTTCCCAGTCAAATCAAAACATTGTATTTAAAAGGGTAAACATTTTTCATCAACATGAGATAAATAAGTCCTTCAGCTTGAGCCTACTATAGCGCTCTGAAATAGTTTCCAGTATATCACCAACAGACTCCTTCCATGCATCTTTGAAGTCGTCATCATCTTCTCCTTGTTGGCGGATGGCTGCCATGGAATTGCATTTCTTGAGTCGTTCTACAGAAATGAAAAAAGAAAAAAAAAGGAGAAAGAAACATGTAGATCAGATATATTGAAATGTTCATCTGCATTTATCAGAACTATATTTCTAGACATTTTTAAATGACATGAACCATGTATGTGAAAATACTACTTACTCTCTACTTCCTCTGAGGCTTCTTTCCTCTCAGTAGCACAGTTTTTGAGTGCTAAATTTAAAATCCCCATGACTCTTTCTGCGGGGTTCATCCAACTCTGACCTGGTGCACATCGGGCTAAGACAAGGAAGTCAAGGTTCA